TTTTTATTTATTATTTCATATGTGCATACAATGCTTTGGATCATTTATCCCCCCTGCCCCCACCTCCTCCCTTACCACCCACCACTGTGCCCTCCTCCCCCCCCACCCCTCGTACCTGGCAGCAACTACTTTGTCCTTATCTCTAATTTTGTTGAAGAGAGAGTATAAGCAATAATGGAAGGACCAAGCGTTTTTGCTAGTTGAGATAAGATAGCTATAAGGGAGTGACTCACATTAATTTCTGTGCATGTGTGTTACCTTCTAGGTTAATTCTGTCTTGATCTAATCTTTTCTCTAGTTCCTGGTCCCCTTCTCTATTGGCCTCAGTTGCTTTAAGGTATCTGCTTTAGTTTCTCTGCATTAAGGGCAACAAATGTTAACTAATTTTTTAGGTGTCTTACTATCCTCACCCTCCCTTGTGTGCTCTCACTTTTGTCTTGTGATCAAAGTTCAATCCCTTGTTGTTTGCCCTTGATCTAATGTCCACTAGGAGGGAGAACATATGATTTTGGTTTTTTGGGCCAGGCTAACCTCAGTCAGAATGATGTTCTCCAATTCATCCATTTACCAGCGAATGATAACATTTCGTTCTTCTTCATGGCTGCATAACATTCCATTGTGCATAGATACTGCATTTTCTTGATCCATTTGTCAGTAGTGGGGCATCTTGGCTGTTTCCATAACTTGGCTATTGTGAATAGTGCCGCAATAAAACATGGGGTGCAGGTGCCTCTGGAGTAACCTGTGTCACGTCTTTTGGTATATCCCCAGAGTGGTATTGCTGGATCATATGGTAGATCAATTTTAGCTTTTTAAGTAGCCTCCACAATTTTTTTCCAGAGTGGTTTTCCTAGTTTACATTCCCACCAACAGTGTAAGGGGTTCCTTTTTTGCCTGCATCCTCGCAACACTGTTGTTGTTGGTGTTGCTAATGATGGCTTTTTAACAGAGTGAGGTGGAATCTTGTGTGTTTTAATTTGCATTTCCTTTATTGCTAGAGATGGTGAGCATTCTTTCATGTTTTTTTTTTTTGCATTTGGAATTTCTTCTTTTGGAAAGTTCTGTTTAGTTCACTTGCCCATTTCTTTATTGTTCATTAGTTTTTGGAGAAGATTTAGTTTTTTAAGTTCCCCTATATCTGGTTATCAGTCCTTTGATGTATAGCTGGCAAATATTTTCTCCCACTCTGTGGGTTGTCCTCTTCAATTTATGACAGTCCCATTTATCTATGCTATCTCTTAGGTTTTTGGAGCTACGGGTTTCCATCGAGAAAGTTCTTACCATATACCTACTAATTCCAGAGTATTTCCTACTCTTTCCTGTGATCAACTTTAGAGTTTGTGGTCTGATATTAAGATCCTTGATCCATTTGAGTTAATCTTAGTATAGGATATACATGGATCTAGTTCAGTTTTTTGCAGACTGCTTAACCAGTTTTCCAGCAGTTTTTGTTGAAGAGGCTGTCTTTTCTCCAATGTGTATATTTTTGCAACCTTTGTCAAAGACAAGTTGGTTATAGTTGTGTGGCTATAATATCTGGGTCCTCTAGTTCGTTCCACTGGTCTTCATGTCTGTTTTGTGCCAGTAACATGCTGTTTTTATTGTTATTGCTTTTGTAAGTAGTTTAAGTCAGGTATTGTGATACCTCCTGCATTGTTCTTTTGACTGAGTATTGCCTTGCTATTTGTGGCCTCTTGTGTTTCCATATAAATTTAACGGTAGATTTTTTCAATCTCTTTGATGAATGTCATTGGATTTTGATGGGAATTGCATTAAACGTGTAGATTGCTTTGGGGAGTATAGACATTTTTACTATGTTGATTCTACCAACCCATGAGCATGGGAGATCTCTCCACTTTCTATAGTCTTCCTCAATCTCTTTCTTCAGAAGTTTATAGTTTTCCTTGTAGATGACCTCTTCATTCTTCATGCTGTCTTTGGGTTTTTTTTTTTTTTTTTCTGCTGACCTTTGGCTTGACTGCCTAAGGCCAAGTTATCACCAGTTTCTGGTCTGTGCCCTGACTACCTAAAAAGCAAGCTAGCAAGGGCTGGAAGAGTGACTGAAGTGGTAGAGTGCCTGCCTAGCAAGTGTGAGGCCCTGAGTTCAAGCCCCAGTGCTAGCTCATAACAGAAACTCCTGATCTTTGGATTAGGAGTAGCTAATCCCTGAGTAGCTAGGATTATAGGCAGTGAGCCACTGGCACCTGATCTTGTAGGTGGCTCACACTTGGGAAGCTCAGGAGCCCCCTTATCGATCCTCCTGTAACAGTAATTAACTTTGCGAAATGAAAACATAATAAATTTTCTTTCTAGCTCTAAAACTTCACTATTTAGGTTAAGAACTTTTTTCTCTTGCTCTTAGAGAAATAATTTACATTGTTTAAAATTTTGGAAAACAAGCTTGCTTGTGTGTCTATCATACTCAGACAAAATTACAAACTACTTTTCCTAGAATGAAATCCTTTTATTTATTTTTTTTTTGGCAGGGCTAGTGATTAAATCCAGGGCCCCACTCCCCACTAGGCAAGCATTCTAACAGTGAACTATATTCCTACCCCTAAATTACTTTTTTGTTTTGTTTCGGTTTTTGTTTGCTATATTGTTGGAGACAGGGCTCCCCTGCATAGCCAAGGCTGGTCTATAACTTGAAATCCAGCCTGAGTCCAAGTGATAGGATTACAGGTATGCACCACCACACTTCACTCTACAATCACATTTTTAAGGATTAACGTTATTGTATTACATACTGACTCACTAAAAATATAAACTGACTAAGCCACAAAACTAACCAAAGTATGCTTTCTTTTTATTGTTGTATATAAATGAATTAGAGTGTCTTAGCTTCTGTGTGTCTTGGTGTGTGGTGTGTGGTGTGTGGTGTATGTGTGCATGTGCATCTGCATGCAGACACACATTCCCCTTCTGAGACATGACCCAGACTAAGCTGCTGATTTTCTTTGCTGTGGAGAATGTAAGACTACTGCTGCACTTGACTGACAGATTTTTTTTTCTTTTTCATGGTACTGGGACTTGAACTCAGGGCCTTCACCTTGAGCCACTCCACCAGCCTTATGTTTTTTCAAAATAGGGCATCTTGTATTGTTTGCCTAGGTGGACTTTGAACTGACATCCTCCCGATCTCTGCCTCCTGTGTAGCTAGGATTACAGGCATGAGCCACTAGCACCTGGCTGACAGGTTTTCTTCTGATAGTCTCTTTTGGGACTTGATAGCTGGCACCAATTGTGTCACTTCTACTCACTAACAATTTTCTTGCTGTAGAAATATTGACAGATGAGAAACCAAGTGACACTCAGAGAAGTGGAGAACTCAGATTTTATTTTACACTGGCAGTCCCAGATGAGTTTCACACTCCTTTTCTGGGCCCTGAACAAAGGATTCACAGGATATTTAAAAGGCAGTGCAGGGCATCAGGTTACAAGGAATGTGCTGGGATTAATTGGGGAGCTAGTGGTGAGTTAGAGACCTAAGGTTGTTTAGATAAGAAAGCAGGGGAGATCTGCTTTGGAGAGTTTATTTATAAGAGGAGACATAGGAAGCGGGAATGGGTGATCATCTCTGCATGGTGCCCTTTGTTTTGGCTCTGAACTTTCTTTAATAGCTTTAATTGGCAATTTCTCATGCTTTAAAGCAATCTTGTTCTTCACTCTGAATTATAAATAGCCTCTTTCTTGTTTTTTGTTTGCAGTACTGGCAATAGAACCCAGGGCCTTGAAAAGGCAGATGTTCTACCACTGCACTACATTCCTGGCCCTAAATAATCTTTTTTTTTTCCTTTCCTTCTTTCTTTTTTTTTTTTTTTTTGGTGTACTGGGGCTTGAACTCAGGGCCTTATGCTTACAAGGTAGTCATTCTACCATTTAAGCCACTCTGCCACCCCCTAAATAATATTTTCAAAACAGCTTTATTGAAGTACAACTCACGTGTCATCCAGTTCAAGACTGAGTGTGGTGGTACCTGACTGTAATCTTAGCATTGGAAGACTGAGGCAAGAGGATCCTGAGTTCAAGGCTAGCCTGGGCTACAAAGCAGGAACCTGTCTTTAAAAAGAAAAAGAGGGGCACCAACTCTTGAGATCTCCCCAAATCTGGGGGCTCTACTCTCCTGCTTTATACTTTTCTATCTTAATAAACTCTTCCACTTTACTCACAAAAACAAGAAAAAAGAAAGAGAAAGGAAAAGAAAAAAGTGTAAACAATTCAGTGAGCTTTACATTAGTATACTCACAAAATTGTGCATTCCCTCTTCAGTCAATTTTAGGACATTTTCATCACCCCCAAAAGAAACCATGTATCTCTTAGCTGTCACTCTTCACTCCCACACCAAGCCCCAGGAAGCCATTGCTCTGCCTTCTGCGCCTTGGGGCTCAACAGTTCTGGGTATTTCAAATGGATGCAATCAAGTGCTATGTAGTGCTCTATGACTGCTTCTTTCACCTCTAATGTTTTCGAGTTTCATTCAGGTGTATGGAAAACTGCATTTTCTGTTACTGCTAACACTGTATGGATAGGCCATATAATATTCACCATTTGAAGAACTGTGGGTTGTTCCTCTTATTCTCTCTCTCTTCTCTTTTTCAGTATGGGGTTTTGAACTCAGGGCCTCAGTCTTGCCAAGCAGGTGCTCTATTGCTCTATTATTTGTGCTACTTCATCAGTCCCTGTCTTGTGTTATGTTGAGTATTTTCAAGATAGGGTCTCTCTCTCTCTCTCTTTCTTTGTGGTACTGGGGTTTGAACTCAGGGTCTACATGTTGAGCCATTCCACCAGCCTTTTTTTTTTTCTTTTTGTGATGTTTTTTTGAGTTAGGTCTCAAGAACTGTTTTCCTAGGCTGGCCTTGAACTGTGAGC